CCGAGCTCTTCGTTCATGTCCGATGAGTTACAGACTGCGGTCCTGTTTGAGTCGATGCAGTACATCTGGTTGTCCCACGTAAAGAACAGGGAGCCCAGAAACTTTTGCATTTCTGTTAAATAACAGAAAGAAAAGCATGTTCTTCACACCCGTCGGCAAGTTGTTCGAAGCTGACAAACCGTTTCCTACTACTACCTATGGTGACGTATAGGGATATGGGGATAAGATAGTTGTACAGAATGAGGTAAGAGAGAATTTCGTTGATAATTTCGCCCGTTTCCAAGTCTTCGTATCCACCAAGGTAGGCGTTGTTTACTTTTGCTGAAACAAGAACCAAACTTTGCAACTACGATAAATTACAGATTATCATTGACCTTTTTAAAGCCACTTCCTCGTAAAAACACTTACCCATTCCTTCGGATTTCTTGTAAAAGGTTGATCCTACGACTGAAGTGATGACGATAACGATTAGGCAAGTCATTGCATACAAAAGAAGTCTGTTAATGGACCTACAGGGACACCGATAAAATTCCGTGAATTTTCGTCAGCAAACTTGATTTATTTTTTCAAAGAATAGTTGACAAGTAGGCACTCACTTTTCCATTGATGAAAACTTATTCCTGGTTATCACCGAGTTACGGGCCATTTTCGTATCCTTCCCGGTGTACACCGCGCATCCTAAGTAAATGAAACAATTATCGAAAAAATTGCCGGTTTTCAATACTGGCGTTTAAAAAAATGTTTTGGCACGCAAAAAGAACAAAAAGAAGCACTAGAGAAATGTGTCATGAATGAGTCCTCACGGGGGTTAATACAATGGCATCACTGTGGCGTTTCCCCCACTGATGATCTCACACTTGCAAACCTCAGCTGCCTACCGAAGGCGTACTCGGTGTTCCTGAGGCGCGCGCCCTTAAGCAGCAGGTGTTCGGCGGACAACGGCGCGGCCAGGGCCTCCTCCTCGGGCTCGAGCACCTGGCTGAAGCGGGCAGTGATGCTGTCGATGGAAATGCGCTGGCTGCTGGTCGTGGCGGAGGGCGGCGGGGCGGGCACGGGCTGGCTCAGCTCCAGCCTGACCACACCACTCCGTTAGTCACGTGCTCCACCGCTCGAGGGATACTTCACTTAACCATAAGTTCAAGCGAACTTTTGTTGATTTTGCTTTCAAAAAATTCTAATTTTCTCTTTTTTATTCTTTTTAAATTTTCCTTTTGTTTTCTTCGTTTATTTCTGTGTTTTTCCTCATATTTTGGAGGGTGTACACTCTGCGGCGCACTCACCTGCCGTAGAAGCGGTAGAGGTCGGGGTGGGGCTGCTCGCACTCCATGAAGCCGCGCACGCTCAGCAACTGATCGGCGGAGCGGACCCTCCTCAGCGGCACCGGCAGGCACACCGTCTGCGAGATGGTGCAGCGTTAGTGTCCACTTTGGAGCGACTTCCATGATGGTCTGGTCGTTCCGCCCGGGCGCTTCACCTTTAGGTTGCTCTCGCCGTCCAGGTTGGCCGTGGTGACGTAACAGCGTGCGTTGCAGTGGCTGCTCGCCACCAGGATCATGTCGCAGGGCACGTCCTGGTCGCAGCCCACCAGCACCAGGTCGCCCACCTCAATCTGCTCCGCCGTCAGCTCCTGCGGGTGGACAAGGGGAGCCCAACCCGGAATGAGCGGGTGGGGCCCGGGGCCTTTTTTTATTGGCAACATTTTGTTTGGGTCGAAGGGCTTATAGTGGGAGGGAATTCAGACTTGGAGGTAGACTCAGACTCTTCCTTGTTTTCATTTTTAAAATATTAGGTGGGGTTGTTTCGTGAAGACGTGCGAAACTCACCTGCGACACGCCGTTGCGTATGACCGACACGGGTGCCAGGTTGACCTCCTGGTCGCTACGGTGTCGCAGGAAGTCCTCGTAGCCCTGCTTGGCAGCCGTGACCAGCACCACGAACAGCAGCGGCAGAAGGCTGGTCCAGGGGCTCACCGGGCTGTTGATGCACATCTGCGGACGCCATGGGGCTCAGTTTGGAGCGGGCGATGATGCCGGGGACAGGGACACTCGTCATACGTACCACGATGATGGTGGCCACTAGGAAGTAAAAGTTGGCGATGCGGCGGAACTGCTCGAACATGTTTAATGGCAAGAAGGTCCAAAGTGTGTACTGCGGGCCGAGATACGTGGTTATAAGACCCAAGACATCACTGACAGGGTAGAATACAGAGTCGAGATCTCAACACAATCACCTTTGCTGAGACCAGTTTGTTGTTGGGGTACTTGGCGTGCGGAGTCGTCCCGCCGATGGGGATGTGGCGCACCTCGCCCAGGGACGACACTCGGTTGGCCTGCGGGGGTGCAAAGCTAGCCGTTAGACAGGCAGTCGAAGACCCACCCCGGCGGGCTGACGGCCGCGGCGCCCTAGCTGCAGCCCGACCTGCTGTAAAAGAGTAGCCTTCGCCTCCGCCTGACCGAGCCCGCCGCCAGGCTCTGACTCATCATTTGGGCTACTCCGTGACTTGGTCATGTTTTCAAATGAACCGAAACGCCCCCAAGCGCCCCGAGAATTACTGCGAGACAAACTGAGTCCATTGTTGAGAGCGTGTGCCGTCAGGCTAAATGAGTTGGGTCAGCACGTGCGCAGCCAGACGCAGCGGACGAAGCGCCATGCTCCGCGGCCTCGTCCACCTGTGGAGAGCCGGGGCCGGGCCGGGGGTGACGAGGAGGTCCAGCACGGTACACCCAGAAAATGAAAAGTTGTAGGAACCATCCCATGTGTTTTTCAGGGATAACCATAAAATATTGTTGTAACAACGAACTACGAGTAGTGAAAACCGCATTATTGGTTGATATACCTGTGCTTTTGTTGCGTCAAACATATTTTATGGTTGTCGCTGCAGTAACCATACGCTGGTTGCTCCAACTTTTCATTTTTCCGGGTGTTCACACCCTGGGGTGCGGTCCTCGTTTTCCTGCTCGTGCTCATGGCCACACTCTGCCCCTCAGCTGCAGAGCGCGTCGACGAGCCACCAGAAGCACGAGCAGTTCCTCAACGGCACGAGCGCCACGTACGTCGAGGAGATGTTCAACGCCTGGCTGGCGGACCCCTCCTCGGTGCACGCGTCCTGGGGAGCCTTCTTCTCGAGGTCGGCGGCGGGGATGCCCCCCGGTCAGGCGCACCAGCCGCCCCCCGACCTCGCCGCCAGGGCCTCTGCGGCCTCGCGGGCACGGGTCCAGGCCGAGGCCGGAGTCCGGGTGGGCGTGGACCAGAGGACGGACTCCGCGGAGAGTGGCGTAAGGCGGCACCAGCCACGACGCCATGCTGCACGGTCGCGGCTCTGGCCCGGGCCCGAGGACTGATAGGGACCTGTCCAGCAGGACGTCGAGGCGCACATGGCCGTCATGAACATCATCAGGGCGTACCAAATGCGCGGGCACCTACTAGCCGACCTGGACCCCCTGGGCATCTCTTACGGACACGTCACGGACGCAGACGGGGACGCCGCGGCCAGCGGCAAGGCCCAGGGACTGAGCGCGGCCACGATCCTTCGCCAGCACAAGGTCCCCGCCAGCACGGAGCAGGACTGGGAGCGCCACTACGCCCTGCCTGACAACGCCTTCATTGGTAAGCGAGGCGAGTGCGGGAGTGCACGGGGCGGTGCAGCACGGGCTGAGCGGGCTGAGGGTGCAGTGCAGGTGGCGGCGCCAAGACGCTGTCCCTGAGAGAAATAGTGCGCCGACTCGAGGAGGCCTACTGCGCCACGGTGGGCGCCGAGTTCATGCACATCCACGACCTGGACGTGGTGCAGTGGGTGCGCGCGCGCATGGAGACGCCCGGCGTGCGCCGCGCGCTGGCCGACGACGACAAGCGCCGGCTGCTGCAGCGGCTCATCCGCGCCACCCACTTCGAGACGTTCCTCTCCAAGAAGTGGCCCGGAGAGAAGCGCTTCGGCCTCGAGGGCATGGAGGTTCTGGTGCCCACCATTAAGCAGATCATCGATCGCGCCGTGGCGCTAGACTGCGGTACGTTCGTCCTGGGCATGGCGCACCGAGGCCGCCTGAACGTCATCGCGAACGTGTGCCGCAAGCCCCTCGTGCAGGTGCCGTGCCCCGTGTCGTCCTGCCTCTAGGATCAGGTGGGACGCATGTCTCGATCGATCCGTTCCGCAGATCTTCACGCAGTTCTCCGGGCTGGAGCAGGAGGACCCGGGCTCGGGGGACGTCAAGTACCACCTCGGCACGAGGGTCCTCGTCAAGAACTCGGTGACGGGCAAGGAGGCCATGGTCAGCATGGTGGCGAACCCCTCTCACCTCGAGGTGGTCGCGCCCGTGGTGCAAGGCCGCACCCGGGCCGAGCAGTTCTACCGGGGGGATGTGGAGGGCAGGAGCGCGATGTCCATCCACGTGCACGGTGATGCCGCCTTCTCCGGCGAAGGCGTCGTGTACGAGACGCTCAACCTCTCCAATTTGCCCAATTACACCACCAAGGGCGCCATCCACATTGTGTGCAACAACCAGGCGAGTGCCGCGCGCCTCCTGGCACTTCACACCGTCGCCCTGGAGATCCTCCTTGACCTTGAGGACGTTGGGGCGGGCCGCAGGTGGGCTTCACGACAGACCCGCGAGCCGCGCGCTCCTCGCCGTACTGCACGGACGTGGGCAAGGTGACGAGCGCCCCCGTGTTCCACGTCAACGCCGACGACCCCGAGGCGTGCATGTTCGTCGCGGACATGGCGGTCGAGTACCGCTTTCGCCACGGTGCCGACGTGGTCATCGACCTGGTCGGCTACCGGCGCAACGGGCACAATGAGGCAGACGAGCCCGCCTTCACACAGCCGCTCATGTACCGCAAGATCAGGGCGCGCCGGCCCGTGCCCGAGCTGTACGCCGAGCAGCTCATCAAGGACAAGGTGAATAGGCCTGCTGGCCCCGAACACCGCGACGTTCGTCCCTCTGAATTTCTAACCGTTGTTGTGCCCGCGACAGGTCGTGGATCAGCAGTGGGTGGACAGCTACGCCCAGGAGTACGCCAAGATCCTCGAGGACGACTTCAACGAGGCCAAGGGGATCACGACGAGCAGACTGACGGACTGGCTGGACGCCGTTTGGAAAGGCTTCTTCAAGGTGGGTCTTCTCGTCGGGGTGGGTGGGGTAGGGCCCACATAGTGGGCTGGGCATCGAGATGAGCGTCGCTTTCTCGTAACCTATCCTCTAGAATGGACAACAACGACCTCACGATTAACTTATTCGCGTGTCGTGTCGAGATAACAACGAAAGTCTTTTTGGCACAGGGGAAGGACCAGGGTCTCTGCCCGCCGACGGGCGTCAGCGAGTCGGTGTTGGAGAAGGTGGGAGTCGCCTTCTCCGCCAAGCCACCCGACGACTTTGTCGTGCACCCGGGCATCGAACGCATCCTCAAGACCCGTCAGAAGATGGTCTCGGACCGGGAGGTGGACTGGGCACTGGGCGAGGCCCTTGCGTTCGGGTCGCTGTTACTGGAAGGTCAGCCGCCTGTCTGTTGGCGCCCTGCGCGCTCCATACCGCCTCTGACCACCCCCTCCGGGCCCGCCGCCGTCCCCAGGCCGACACGTGCGCCTCAGCGGGCAGGACGTGGAGCGGGGCACCTTCAGCCACAGGCACCACGTGCTGCACCACCAGGAGCGCGACATGGAGACGCACGTGGCGCTGCAGCACCTGGCCCCGGGGCAGGCCGCGTACACCGTGTGCAACAGCTCCCTCAGCGAGCTGGGCGTGCTGGGCTTCGAGCTGGGCTTCTCCCTGACCGACCCCAACGCGCTCGTGCTCTGGGAGGCGCAGTTCGGTGACTTCAACAACATGGCTCAGTGCATCCACGATCAGTTCCTGAGCTCAGGTGGGACCCAGTGCGTTCATATTACCTCGGGCTATTTTCGCGATATGATCCACGTACACCCTGCCTCCCGGGCCGGTAGCAGAACTGCATAGAAATCTGAATAAAATGCATGTAAAATAATATCAGACAGTGGTCGGCCGTTTGCTAGCTGGGTTCTGGTGTCGCCAGGCCAGTGCAAGTGGGTGCGCCAGTGCGGGCTGGTGATGCTGCTGCCGCACGGGCTGGAGGGCATGGGCCCCGAGCACTCGTCGGCCCGCCCGGAGCGCTTCCTGCAGCTTTGTGACGACGACCCGGAGGAGGACGAGGACGCTGTCCGAGGAAAGCGGTCGCCGGTGCAGCAGTTGGCTGACGTCAACTGGATCGTGGTGAGCGAGCAAGCTGTTGTGGCTGTGAAGGGTAGCATGCATCACGGGCGTGTCCACTAATGAGCTCCCGCTCGCCCTGCCCGGGTCCCTCGCAGGCCAACACCACCACGCCGGCCAACTACTTCCACATCCTTCGGCGGCAGATAGCCCTGCCTTTCCGCAAGCCGCTGGTGTTGTTCACGCCCAAGTCCCTCCTCAGGCACCCTGAGGCGCGCTCTCCACTTGTCGACATGGCGGAGGGTGCGTGCCCGTGCAGTTTGCTCCGTCCACGTTAGGTAGCGTCGTTGTTCTCTCACGTCAAATGCTCCGTTCTTCTGCCGCCCTCCGCTCTCCAGGGACGGAGTTCCAGCGCGTCATCCCCGCTGCCGGGCCGTGCACCACGAGCCCGCGCGCGGTGCGTAAGCTGCTGCTGTGCTCGGGCAAGGTTTTCTACGACGTGCGGAACGCCGTGCGGGACGCGGACTTGGAAGGGAGCATCGCCATCGCACGCGTCGAGCAACTGTGCCCCTTCCCCTACGACCTGGTGGCCGCCGAGTGTGCCAGGTAATCGCCTCCAGGCCGGCGGCGCTTCTGTCCGACCGCCGCGACGCGCGCCCCTCCACGCCGCGCCCAGACGCCATGTGTCAAGAGGGTGCGAATGAGATGCGATCACGGCCGGCCGCACCACAGTGTGCTCGACACTCAGTTCTGTCGCGGGTCCGGCTTGGGCTCGGTGGTATTGTGCTGTCCTGCAAGAAAAGGTCGGACGGGGGAAAGAGACTCCGCTGCTTGCTTGAGCCATGCCAGGCCAGCGGCTTCCACAAACCTTGTCTACGGCAAACCGATCCCCAATACAGGCACGTGTGCCACTTGCAGACACGCCTGATGCCCGCAAAGGCACAGAGATTCGTCAGACCAGGCTGGCTGATGAACCCCACGCACTTCTTTAGAAGTTTGATCTCCAGTCCCAAAGCGTCCGTCATTTTCCGTTACGAATACGAACCTGCCAGGTTCAGCTAGCCAATACACGCTCTCATAGCGCCTGGTAGGTATGCAACATCTTGCCTGCTGTGCATGCGTGTACTGCGGGGTGGCCTACCCAGGTTGTCGCGGGCACCATGCAGGCACCCCTGTAGTTTGCCGCATTCATCCGAGAAAAGCGGACGTACTTTATGGACGATCCTATAACTACAAAAACACGCTACAAATATGCGCGGGGTTAATCGGCCCCCTGGAGTATAAATGCTGGCATAGTGACCTTGGTGTCATTCTATGCCCTTGTTTGTCAGTCAACTTGACCAAATTTGTAACCGTCACAGATACTATTTTTTTTACTCTGACATCACTCTTAGCCGAATTGACAAATCTCTGTCGCTTGTGGGGTCACTGCAAGTCTATTTACGAAAACGCTTTCGGGTGGAGCTGACACCGCGCAGAGGTCGCGAAAACAAACTAGGAATGTATTAATCATGGCATAAATCAAGTTGATCAACAACCCGCGGGGAAAATGTTTTGCAAGCCGCAGATTGGCATTCCCAGGTACCCGGAGGCGGCGCTCTTCTGGCTGCAGGAGGAGCACAAGAACCAGGGCGCCTGGAGCTACGTGCGCCCGCGGCTGGGCGCGTGCGCGGGCGTGGAGCCGTGCTACGTGGGCAGGCCCACCTCGGCCGCGCCCGCCACCGGCAACAAGGCGCAGTACCAGCGGGAGGCGGAGGCCCTCGTGCAGAGGGCCCTGCAGCTGTAGTGCGTACGCACCTTGTACCACGACCTGGACCGGCTGGACCCGGACATGTTGAGGGAGTCGTTTAGGGCGTCGGTACTGAGCCGGGCCGGTGGTGCCGCACGGTCGCCATGGCGTACAACTGGCGCACCCGTGCACTGCCCAGACCCGCGGCGACAGCCCCAAGGGCTTTGGAGGAAAGCGCGTCCCGGCCCGGCGAGGCGCGAAAGCACGAAGCGCCGAGGGAAGGGGGAAGTCACACCATCCCGTCAAAAAGCCGTCAGGACGAGGGTAGGCGAGATGGACTTGTAAATGGAAAATAGTGCTGTTTCCGAACGCACCTAGCACGAAACAACTATGGAAATGACTTAAAATAAAAAAAAAAATGGTCCAGATTCATTTTATTAATTCAGAACAAATTTCATTCATACCCAAATTTCCACAAAATAGATATTTTTTAACAGATTATTTTCTTAAGCCTTCAAGTATCTGGCATGGTGTTTAATGTGCTCATCAATGAATGAAGCGATAAAGTAATAACCATGATCATAGCCTTCTCTCATTTGGAGGACAACAGGCATGTTCACAGCTTGGCATGCTTTTACAAAATTTTCAGGCAGTAGCTCATGAAGATATGGGTCACCTGCACCCTAAAAAAGAGAAA